GTGAGGGCGCCGCTCGGCCTCGGGTCTCGCCAGGCTGTGTGGTCTGGGGCGCCTCCTCCGTGCCGGACGCGGCCTGGGACTCTCCCTGCCCTGCCCGGGATGGGGGAACTCCTGCATCGCGGCGAGTCTCATTCAGGGTAGCCCGCACCTGTCCTGTGGAAGTCCCCTCAAGAAAGCATTTCCCCTGTGGCGGCAGAACAGGGCCGGGTAACCTCGAGTATCTCCAAACGCCGTAGAGACCGGCGGGTCCAGCTAGCTTGTGGGGGAAAGATTCTGCTCTACGGCAGAGTAAACTGAGTCAGGTACGTGGCGGCCTGCGTCCCCCTTAAATAAAGAAATTAGCCTGCCCCGGCTCCTCCGTGGAGGAGTCCTGCGGGCTTCTTGGAAGAGGAAGGCGGCTGGAGTTGGAAGGCTTGATGGAGAAGTTTGGGAATGTTACTGAAATGTGGTCAAGGCTTTCCCCCAGGGTCCACTGTTCCCTCTTTGGGGAGTTGTCCTGTGTGTGTTTGAGATCATGTGTGTGGGGTGGCCAGTGGCTCGGGCAGAGAGGGGAGTGGGGCCTCTCTTCAGCTGGCTGCCCAGGAGACATTTCACCAGGCGTGGGGAGGTAGGCTAGATCCGGAGCCCGAGCCGGGCAGGCGTCTGTCTACTCAGAGCCTGATTTCAGGCTGGCAGAATACAAAACCTGCACATTTTCTCCTTTTTTGTTGGTCTGTCATTCGTTGTAGGGAGGAAAAACTGCTTGTGTAATCAAGGAAGAGTGTACCAGGCTCCTCCCAGTCTACCCAGGGAAGGTATATTGTTAGCTTGGAAATAGGGCTTCACCCACAACTGTCACTTTGCACTCTGGCAAAAGGCCAGTGACGAGATGAACAAACATCCCAGGTGCGCATGACCTAAGAAAGCAGTAAGTATACATTCATTTTACAGGTGGTTTGGAGGACAGAGAAGACCTCTGATCACCCCTGTTGCTACAACTGTTTGGAGGAGCCTTGTGGTTTTTCCCAGTGACAGTTCGAGTTACTGAAATGTGGTCAAGGCTGTCCGTTTTATTGAACCATTTTTCTAGGAATAGGAGTAGGCAGGGGATGTGGTGCTGGACTGAGTTTGTATCCAGAGTCCCAGGGTTGGGAGCTGGCAGTGATACTTCTTTTCTGTTCAGGGGATTTCAAGTTGGACAGCTTTATCCTTTTATTCTCTTTCACATTCAAGGAAATAGATAATGGCCTGCGTTTCTGAAACGTTGTCAAATTTCCTAATAATTCTAGACTTCAGAGTACAATTCAAAAATTACAGTTTATTTAGTGGTGTGAAGTTTGAAAGTGTTTGAAACTTGCGTAGAACATTTTCAGATTGATGTGGCAGGGCTACCTAATAACTTGATTGTGTTTGCAGAAAATTCCCGTGTTATCTAGGACACCCCCTTTTTAATGTCTGTTTCTCATTACGAAGACCAACTCACTAAAAACTTTCATATTGGTCACGTAGACAGTTGTTATCCTGACTGTTTACATTGGGAGCAAGGGTTGTAAATTCTCTAAATTGACTCAGTTTAACCAGTTGCTAAAATAGTACACATAAAAAGAGAGAGCCCGTCTCAGAATGCTTAGAAATTAGTTTTCCAACTTTTTCATGGCCCAAACCAGTTAACATACCTGCTTAGCACCATCTAATGGGAGTGTCTTTTTAAGGGCTTTTAAAATAGCAGTGGAAAAGGCATTTTCAGTTACCAGCATTTAAGACAAAACAGCAACAATAACAAAAAAAGGACAATCCCCCCCAATTACATGTTCATTGTGATGTTTAATACAACTTCATCCATCTATGAGAGAGTTGTGCCTCGGACTTTCTGAAAGCACCTACATAAACTCGAGGTGTGTTGGGACTACTTCCAACTTGATTTTTTTAATCCTTATAATAGAACCTTTAATAATACTGCTATTGTTTTAATGTTAGACTAGAGACATCAAACTTGTACTAACCATAGTGTATATTTTGGGAGGAAAGATTTAACCTCTGCACCTTGGAATCTCAAAACCCCTGCAATACAGGGCTAAGATATAATTTAGAGTTTAATGAAAATATATGTGTTAAATTGCTGTTGAAGTCTCAAGGGATGAGCTGCTTCATCATTATTGTTATTTGGTAATGGTTTCTAATTATTAATTTTGTTTGGTTACTGCGTACTGGCAGTAGTTATGTGTGTTAATGTAAGAAAGATTTTGGCAGTTGTAAAGACAATATCTTTATATCCAAATGCACAGAACCTGTTTCTTCAAAAGGAAAATGGTCTGCTCACTTTCACCTTTTGACTTTGTTATTCACGGAGTTTTAAAATCCTAAAACCAGTTGGGCTTTTAATAGGATATCCTATTATAGCTCACATGTATCCCCTGTAGGTAGGAATCCTCAGCCTCACGTGTTCAAAGACCTCAGTGCTCCCTGTTTCCAGGTTTTATCAGTTGCCAGGGTCAGGACAGTGGTTTTATCTAATCCTCTAATGCCATTCTTAGTTTAAACTCGTCCTCTTTTCTCATAGTTAAGACTCTGTCTTGAAGTTTCTCTGCTTTCTCTTATTCAAGTTGAATATTCCATATTTTTTATGCCTTTGGGCCTGTTAACATTCTAAATTGGAGCTAAGCAGTTGGTTAAAAGTCCTACTCTATGTTTTTAAACATTTTCCTTTTTCAAAGCAAGCATAAAATCTACATTTCCTCCGGGGAAAACCAGCTCTTTGAATCTTACAGAAAAACAAAAGTAGTTTTTTTCCAGCTTTCTACCAATATAAAATCTTAGCTTTTCCTTTCTTTCTGTTTTTGCCAGTATAGTGATGAACTGGAGGCATTGGGAGAGCCTGCAGTCTCCTGAATCATTAAAAGAAGGTCATATTGTATTCAGTGCAGCTTTAGCCTTTTTACTATGTTTTATTGCAAGGAACTTCCAAAAGCCAGTGCTCCTTGACACATTCGGTACCTAGCCCTTTGCAACTGAGTCACTGAGGGGTTCCTTAAAAATATAGATTTTCTAGTCCCACCTCCTGGAGATTTTGATTGAGTGGGTAAGTGATGACCATAATCTACATTTTAAAAACCTCTCTGGCATTGGTCCCAAAAACTCCCCAGGTGATTCTGATTTATAGCAGGTTTGGGTGCCAGTGCTGTATTGCTTTGAAATTCTTTATAAATTGGTAGTCCCTTTAAAAGCATCATGTTATTCAGGATGTTTGATTTGCTAGAACAGCCAATTTCCTGGTCATGACAGATAAAAAGGAACTTTTATAACTTTTATGTAAATTGTTTTACAGAGAGGCCCTCTCTGCTGTATTATGTATGAGTCACGAGAGAGGGTTGGTGAAAGTGGCTTCCTTTATTTCCTGAGTTGACAAGTGCATGATGATGTGGAAACAACTGGAAGTCTGAGGGGTAGTCGACTAGTTATGGTCAGTTGTTGGATAGGAGAGATGCCTGGGAATTCTCTGTATGTAGGGTTTTAAAATAAAGCCAACTTGCCAGATGTTTTATTTCTAGATAGCTGAAGCGCTTATTGAAAATAATAAGATGCTTAATAGTCAATAAAATGTAGTCAGTTACAGGTACTTTGCTGAGTTCATGGAAAGAAGAAAAATTGCTGAAATACAGAACCATCTGAGTTAAAACAGAATTGGGGAACTAAATATGTTAGGGAATAAAAATGGGAAAAACCAAACAATTTAGGAAATAGATAACTGGTTTTGAATCCCAGCTCCTCCACCTCCTGGTCAAGCTCCTTTAGACATACTACTCAACCTTGGCGAGCTTCATTTTCTTCATCTGCAAGGTGAAAATAATGCCTGGTAGTATTGTTATGTGGATTAAAAGAGAGAAATATGTTCCTTGTACATTGCAAGCAACTCAATGAGTATTCTTTTCTCCCACTTTCTCATAAGATTTTTATTTTGTAGACTTAAGATGTCTTTCTAAATCTAGTCTTCTCTATATCTCTATGGAAATATCTACTCAGCTCTTTTTTTTTAAACTTAAAAAACTTTTTCAATTACAGTTTACATTCAATATTATTTTGTATTAGTTTCAGGAGTTTAGCATAATGGTTAGACATTCATATACTTTACAGTGTTCCCCCCCCCAATATTTCCAGTACCCAGCTGGCACCATACGTAGTTATTACAGTATTATTGACTATATTTCCTATATTTACATCTCCAGGACTGTTTTGTAACTACCATTTGTACTACTTAATCCCTTCACCTTTTTTTTTTTTTTTTAATCCTCATCCGAGGACACGTTCATTGATTTTTAGAGGGGAGGGGAGAGAGAAAGTGTGGAGTGTAGGCTTACATCCAGAGTTATTGTTTGCAGGAATAACCTAGTAACACTACTCGCATTCTGCCTTATGTGTCTGGGTGATCGTTCTGGAGCTCAGTTTAGACCAGGAGGCTTTGAGGGTGGCCCCATTAGGTAGCACCTGGCATCCATTTCTTTCCTCATCTTCCTTTCTCCCTTTTGGTTTCTTTTGGTTTCTTTTTCCCTCTCTCCCTCCTTTCCCTCTTGCAAATTGGCCTTCCTTTCCACTTGCCAGTCATGCCACAGGCCCCTGGAACTCTAGACTAAGAGGTTGCTGGTTGCTAACACCTGTCTCCCAGCTAAGTGAATAGGCTCTTTTGTGGGCAGGATGTTAAAACTGATTAGTACAATACTAGTTTAAAGGAATTATTAAGGATACAGCATATGTAAATCACGGAGTGACTTAAAGCCGTTCCAGAGATTTATTTTTTATACTATATATTTTTAACACTGAATTATGTTGTTGATTGAATTTTTGTATCCAAACCAAGTATCTGTTTATTGCCCAGACTAATTTCTGTGGTGTGGATTGGGAATCATTTATATTCTAAAGAAGTTCTACCCTTAAGGGCTTTTGTTTTGTTCCACAAATGTCTAACTAGTGTGTAATACAATTAAAGTTTTGTTCACTGAGCTGCTGACATAATTAGTTTAATTTCTGCTCCTTATATATTTTTGTTGGCAGCTGAGAAATTAAAATACTAGACGTTGCATAAAACTGCTTTTTTAAGGTTGATTTTACTGTCAGTTGAATGGATGTAGGCCCCAGGGTACATTTTTAAAAGATGTCTTATTCAACTTTCCTGTAATAATCTTTCCTCTATATAGAATTAATGTATTAAGACACATAATTGGCTATTTAAGCATTCGAAAGAGACAGCATTTGGCCTTTACCCCGTGATTATATTTTTTCCTACAGCTCTTGAGAAAATGTATGTAATTTTTGGGAACCCCTAAGTATA